GGTAGCCTCCGCTCCCCCCGTCCTCTCCCTCTGTCGGGCAAGTATTGGCTGCGCGCGAGCGCTCGAGTGCAGCGCCGCGTCGGCACCGGCCACTAGGCAAGAGGCGGGTACGCCCCGCAGCGACGAGCACAGATTGTACAACATGTTCCACATGTGATATAGCCATGTGCAGCAAATCCAGTTTGCGGAGTCTTGCTCGTTGCTCTAATGTCGTCGTTAAATAGAGGGCCACATCCATTGTTTTTTTGGTGTGTATATATATATATATATATATATATATATATATATTGGATCAGATTTTGGCAGCGTGGGGGTCTCGGGGGCGTTCCTATATCATGTGGAACCGTTTTGGAACAACACTGGCGGCTTAGAGCATGTTCGAACAGCAATCTCCGGTTATCTTGAGCCGTACTGGAGGTCGTCATGGAGCATCGGGCGCCCTCTTGGAGCCATCTTGGGCCATCTTTGTAGCCCTGACCGCTCGCGCCCCCCCCCCAACACATTCTCAGAAAGGGGGGGGGGGCCCTCCCCGAAGGGAAGGGCCCAGAGGCCGCAATGCAGATGGAAAAACGCCCAGGCTGAACCGACCGCGTTGACGGAGACCCCGGGGGAGGAGGAGGTCACCCAGGTCATGCGATGGGGGCGCGCAGGCGACCGCGCCCCGCGAATCACGGCTTCGGGGGTTGCGCGCACCATTTTCCAGGGCTGCGGCGCGAGCCCCCGATGCGAAGATCACCGCGCGTCCCGCATCAGGGGGCGCGATGCGCAATGTTGGCCGACCTTGGTATGTTTCCTTGCGGGCAGTTTATAACGGCGCGACAAGTCACGATCTGAACCGTAGACACCATTTTGCTGCACGGGCCAGATCAATACGTGGTGCCCCCCGGGCCCGAAACTGTGCGAAATCTAGTATGCAACGCCGGGATCTCAGGGTACATGCAACGGCTACGACGAGGAGGAGGACGAGGAGGACGAGGAGGAAGAGGAGGAGGAGGAGGAGGACGAAGACAATGACGATGACGAGGAGGAGGAGGAGCAGGAGGAGGAGGAAGAGGAGGAGGAAGAAAACGATGACGAGGACGAGGAGGAGGACGAGGATGAGGACGACGAGGAGGAGGAGGAGGTTGCTGTGCAGGCGGCGAGGCCTCCGCGGAGATCGTGGGGGGCGAGCTGCGCGCTCTGACTCTTCGCCTGCCGGGAGGCTCGCAGGAGCGCCTTCCGGCGGCGGCGGGGGGTGGGCCCTTCGGGCCGGCGCCGTGCGCTCCGAGAGAGGTCGGGGTTCATGTGACTCAGGAGGGGAAAAAACACACAGACACAATGAATCGTCGTTTCAAAAAAAGGATAATATAGGAAGTGCGGGGAAGACAAAAAGCGAGAAAAGATTGGAAAAGATGGGGAATCGTGTTATTTGTGTGTATTTATTTGTGTGTCCCAGGGCCCCTTCCAGTGACGGTGGTCAATGCAGACCGGGGGTCAGCCAGAGCGCCGGATTAGGATTCTGCAAGGCCAGGGGTGCACTGGCCCATGCTTGCGCGCAGGATCTTGCAGGATCTTGCCGGATCCTGCGAAGCCCGACTCACCCGAGTTTGCATTGACTCATGTCTGTGCGTCCCCGAATTGGAGGAGGGTTGGTCGGCGACTACGAAGGGTGTGGTCACGGCAGGTTCGCGTCGTGTCGATTGGCGGCGACCCGACCCCGCCGCGGCGACCAACGTTGAACGCCGCCGGCGATCCAGAGTCGGTCGATGTTGAACGTCTTGGAGTTTCGGAAACGGCCGATCGTTGAAGGTCGATTGATCCCCGGGCTGTCAGAAAACCAGCGCCGAAGTCGGCACGACACGAGGCTGCCGTACGCTGGGGTGTGGCTTGCGATCTGCGTCGTTGGGGCTCGGTGGGCACCGCGTTCCCCTCGTCGGGCCGCCTCGGGGCGTGGCGGAGGACTCTGTCGAGGTCCTCGCCCGCCACACCCCTCACAAAGCACACCCTTCCGCCAAGCTGGGGGAGGGGAGCCTCAGCGTGCGCAGAGGGGGTAGGGAAACGCAATACTCGAGTTCGCGGAGGGCGGGTTTCCGGCCGCTGTCTGGCGGGCTCATCCTGAATTTGACGGTTCAGTTTTCGTGGGACGATTGCAGCGGGATTTCGCGACACACTTCAGAGTTGGGTTCGTCATTTTTTGGTTGACGGCCAACCCGAGTCCCCCGAACCCGAGTCTGACGTCTGCCCGAAGCGGGGAGGAGAGAAGCCTCAGCGCGAGGAGAGGGGTTGGAGGTTCGAGGGTTGCGGACGCCCGGGTCTGTCGCCGGCGGTTTTTCAGATCGTGGGCTGCGTTAAAGCAGCTGCGCCTCGTCGACAGCGAGAGCGTCCTGGGGGTGCCCGAGTCGTCCCAGACGGCTGATGGAGACCCGAGCTATAATTAGGTCGGGCGTGTCCCTCTGCAGGAGGATTGTTCAAAAACAGTAAAGCAAGTAGCCTGGGGACGATTTGTGTTGGTATCGTTGATTTTTCTGCATATATTTTTAAATTTCTTTATTATTTCGCCGAAAATCCGCCTGTAGGGGGACATGCCCGACCTAAAGTTATGATCCCAAAGCCGACCGGTTCTTGAGGGAGGCACGCGTATGAGGAAGGGTTTTTGCCGGCGCTCCGCACTGCCGACGCATCGGCGATCCTGCGCTGCCTCCCGCCTGGTTCTCTCCACTGCGACGTCGTGGCGGTGCATCCCTGATGGGGCCCCATCTTGGCGGCCCCAAGCGAGGGAGGGGTGCAGGGCTCATCTCGACCCCTCTGGCGCGATCTCGGTTTGGTTCTGATGTCGATTCCGATTCCGATTCGGTGCGGCTTGGGATTCCGGTCTCGGCTTCGGTTTCTCAATGGCTTGGCATCGCTCGGTCGTGCGCATTTTTATTCGGCGAGGACCATCGAGGAGCATTTTGGGCCACCCTGGGGAAAAATACACACGAAGCCGACAAATGCACGGGGAATGGACGTCCGAGCGATGGCAAGATGGAGGCCGTATTGGCTTGCCGATGTCCGTCGATGCGACGTCTCCCGAGACCTGGCACTGCAGAGTTCCGCCGGTGCGATGCCTTTCGGTCGCCGGTCCCGGGTGGGGCCACCATGGAGAAGCCCAGTCCGTTTCGGCAGGGGTCGACCTAGACGGTGTTTTGGGTGATTTCGTGTGCCGTTTTCGTTTCGATATTGGCTTGCAGCAGAGGCGGAGGGAGGACAGAACGAGGGAGAGCGAAAACAAAACGAGATCGGAAGGCACAGTAGTTTAGGTCGATCCCTGCTTTTCGGGCTGGAGTGTCTCAGAACCTTTGGCCAGAAAGATCTTGGGCGACGAGATCTGTACAGATCCACTGCTTCTGACCATGCCCATCCTGGGCCCGGGAGCGGTGTAGATTTATGTCGGGCCTGCCCCCCTACAGGAGGAATACTCAAACATAGGACACATAATTGGGGGACGATGTTTTGAATATTTTGTGACTACCTTCGAACATGTTTCGAGCCTTGCTGATTTTTCACCCAAAATCCGCCTGCAGGGGGACGTGCCCCAACCGGAGTGCAGATGCCTCCCGGGCCCAGGAGGGGCCAGGAGCAGCGGACCTGGACGGACCCCGTCGCCCCAGGAGCGCGCACCCTTCTGGAGAGCCCCTCGGGGCGCCCGGCTGCTCCCCAGAGATCCAACGCATCGAACAACATCAAGACGGAGGCTTTTCTCAGTGTTTGGCTTGGGGCCCTCGACGGGCCCCGGGACCGTCAAGCAACGACTCAGGATGAAGAACCGGTCCTGGGGGAAAGGGTCGAGACTTCCAGGGACCCCGTATCGGAAAAACACGACATGGGATTTTGGGGTCCAGGGCCGCCGCGAGGGGGATCGGTGCTCCTGGAAGGGAGGGGCTCCCGCAGGTGCCGCGCCGTCTTCGGGCGCACGGGGGGGGGGCCCTCTCCTGGGCCCCCGAAGCGTCGGAGAGCGGAGGAGGAGGAGGAGGAGGAGGAGGAGGAGGAGGAGGAGGAGCGTCAGAAGCGTCAGGAGAGTCTGTTCCAGGCGGGGTCTGGGGTCCGTGTTCACTGGGACCGGTCTCTCTCGCTGTCGTGCTGGCGGGAGTGAGGAGCGAGGAGGGCACGATGGCGTTTCTGTGAGGGCCGATGGGTTTCTGACGGGCTCTCCTCCTTCCCATGGGCCGAGTGCGCCAAAACAGGGGGCCACGTGCGAACCTTGCCCCTACCCCCCCCACGATGTCTGAGGGGGAGGGTAGGATCCCTTTCGTCCGGGAGCTCCCAAGCGGAGTGAACCCCACGTCCCCCAGCAATCCTGGGGGGTAGGGTTCGCATGTGGCCCCCTACAAGAAGCGCCGAGCTGCGAGCCTCCTCGACCCCCCGGGCATCCTCGGGCCTCTTCTCGAGCCTCAGGGCTCGGTCGTCCTCGGGCCGTCGGCCGTCGGCCCGCGACGCCTCGCCCTCCCCTAGCGCCGCCAGGAGAGGTGGAGGGTCCGCGAGTGGGCCTTCGACCCCCTCGGCGTCGGCGGGCCCCCCCCACCCCGCGGAGCCCCCCTCCCCCTTCCCTACGCGCGCGTGCCGCCGCAGCCGTTGCCGTCACAGCGACCGGCGCCGTCACAGTCGTCGTCGTCGTCGTCGTCGTCGTCGTCGTCGTCGTCGTCGTCGTCGTCGTCGTCGTCGTCGTCGTCGTCTGCGTCGTCGTCGTCGTCGTCGTCGTCGTCTGCGTCGTCGTCATCTGCGTCGTCGTCGTCGTCGTCGAGGCTGAGGGCGAGGTTGAGGTTGATGTCGAGGTCGAGGTTGGGGTCGAGGTCGCCGTGGTCACCATGGTCACCGTGGTCGGTGTCGAAGTCAACGTGGTCTTCACCGCCGTCGTAGCAGGAACAAGATGATGGGAAGCGGGGATAGGCATGGGAGCAAGGGCAATGACGAGGAGGTGGAGGATCGATACGGAAGCAGAGGAGGAGATGGAGGAGGAGGAGGAGGAGGAGGAGGAGGGGGGA